CGAGAACAGCAGCCCGGTCGGTGGACTCTTGGGATGGGCTTCCAGGTATCGTTGCATTTTCGCTATGGTGCGGTGCAAGTGTGGAGCTAGCCTATAGCAGCTTTGGCCAACAAGCCGACCTCTTTATATTTGTCCTGGGGAACTCCAATGCGTACATGTTACGCGCTCACTTATTGTCAGTGCTGATCTCGGAGATCCTTGAGGAAGGGCAGGAGGAGGATGAGGAGGAGGAGGAGGAGGAGAAGACAGCAGAAGCAAGCACAGCAGCATGCCCCGCAGCAGGAAAGGCTTGGGGAAGGGGTCTGTTGACCTGGCCTGAAACATCGCTGTGACAAGGAGGAGGAGGAGGAGGAGGAGGCGACGAAGGAATGGGGAGGGTAATAATAAGAGGGAGAGCAACATTTTCCGTACGAAGGAGACCACTACGAATAAGAAGACGAATAATAACAATACGAAGAACATGGGTAAACGTACTAATACAAAGAGAAAGAAGGAGATGGATCATGAGACACAGAGTGGACCGAAGCCCTCATATTCCTCGCTGCGTCAGGCCACCCTGTTCGGCCACAACGCGCAGGACCAGGGGGAGGGTACCAACGGGACTGCATCCCTTGTGTTACCTGCCCTCATCCCCCATTCCTCCCTCCTCCCCTTCCTCTCCCCTCCCTCCCTCTGGCTTGTTCTACGGGCAATTATTGACATTCGAACAGGATTGCATATGTGGAGCGTCGTGCGATGTTCTTGGCCAAAGTCGTTGGCCCGTCGCGCTCAGCTTGTGAGGCGTTTTTGTCCTCGCATGCCCAGGTGGATGAGCTTACTGTTCGCGTGGTCTTTGTGCGGTCGCAAAACCATGAGGGGGACTGCTACGCCTTTGGAGGGCTCACGCCCGACGTCGATATCTGTGCATGCAGAGGACGTCTTGCGGTTCTGGAAGATTCCCCCCCCTGGACGTGGAGTACCGTGAATGATGAGGTTGTGGCTCTCTGTTTTTGTTCTACTCGCCGTGGACGTGCAACCGCTGCAGATGTACACCTGAGCCGCCTGCCCTCTTGGGGACCGCTCCCTCCCGGGAGCCGGCACGCAGGCTCCTGCCCTGTCCTGTCTTGTCCCCGGGACGTGGAGTACCGTGTTCGGCGCCCCGTCTTTGCAAGAACTTCGGCTTCGGCACCGCCTGTATCCGAGGCTATGCCTCCTCTCGGCCTCGTTCTGAGGCTGCACCCCCCTTTTCCTCCCCCATCTCTGGTTAATTCAAGCTCCGCACGGCCCGCTTAGCTTCGACCGGAAGAGGTGCGCTCTCGACCCGCGGATCAAAAATTGTCTTGTCACTTGGACGTGGAGTACCGGGTTCGGCGCCCGAGCTGGTCCCAGCGGCGGGTCGCTCAACAGGATCGTCGCCGTAGCCGCTGGGCTCCGCTCGTCGGGCGTGTGCAGGCCGAGCGCGACCGTGGCCGAGGGGCCCCTCACGGCGCAGGCCAGCCCGAGGGCCGTCCAGTACGTCACGGATTTCGAGGCGCCGCGGAAGGCTTCGGACGATCTCGAGGTCTCCAATGGAGGCTTGGAGGCGCGGCCCCTTTGTTGGCGTTCCTGGGGGGAGGGGGAGTTGAGGGACTGGTTCGTCGACCTGGACTTCTCCGTCGTGGGGGCTGCACGGCTCTCCGTTCGCGCTGCTCCACCTGGAGCCGTGGCCCCTGCAGCCCCACCGCCACCGCCACCAGAGGTTCCCGTCGGGCACGAGGATGCGCCCCCCGAGATCCTTCAGCTCAGCGATCTGGCCCCTGAGCGTCTCCATGGCGACTGGGGAGGCGAGAATTACTGAACTGATGGATTTCGGTATGCCAGGACACCGAAATCCTTCAGTTCAGTAGTCCTCGCCCCCCCAGTCGCCATGGAGACGCTCAGGGGCCAGATCGCTGAGCTGAAGGATCTCTGCGTAGATGGATGGTTGCCCAAAGCAGTTCCTTGCCAAGGGGCAGTGGCTTGTCCATGTTCGGGCCCCCTACGGCTTCGAGGCCCTCCTGGCCGAGGCGGCCCAGGGCACCTCGTGTTCTTGTTCGCGGGAGCCGGCTCCAGAGCCGCAGCCCGCAGCTCGTCCTACAACCACACTGTGCACTCGTTCGCGCCGGGGCTCTTCAAGGTCCAGCCCAGCACTACCCTCGAGAGAGAGAGAGAGATCCCTGCGGGGCCCTTCTCCTGCCGGTGCTGCGCCTCCTCCTCCTCCTCCTCCTCCTCCTCCGCCTCCTCCTCCTCCTCCTCCTCCTCCTCCTCCTCCTCCTCCTACGCCTCCTCCTCCTCCTCCGCCTCCCCCCTCCCCCCCTCCTCCTCATGCTGCTGGCCGACGAGAGTTCGCTTCAAATCCACACGCGCGCGCGCTTCGCAGACCTTCCCTCGGCCTTGCCGGCGCGCGCCGGTTGAGGGGCCCGCCGGGGCAGTGCAGAGCGGCACGCGCAAGGGCGGTGCCGAGGTCTCGGAGGCCAAGGAGGAGCAGCAGAGGTTGTTGGAGGCCCCGGGCGCGGAGGCATCGGCGGCCCAGAAGAAGGGCAAAGGGGGGGGCGGCGCCCTGGCGGCCCTATCGGTGCGCACGCGCCTCGCCCTCACCAGCGCGCGCAAGCCCCCGCCTGGTCCCGCGTGTGCAAGGCGTTCATGAGGTGGGCCTGCACGGAGGGCACGGATACGGCGCCCCCCGCGGCCCAGAAGCTGTTCCAGGACTGTTGGCAGAAGATCACCATGGCTCCAGAAGCGCTGCAGACCCTGCAGATGCAAGTGCGTCACTTCCACCTCAAGGCCTGTTGGTTTGGCACGAGGAAGATGAGCAAGACCGACAGGAGCTCGGAGTGTTTTCGCACGCCTCCCTCAATTCAGGCTTCTCTCGGCGCCGAGCAGGTGCGGGCCCTCGCCGACGCCCCTCGTCGGTTGCGCTTTGCCGAGAGCAGTCCGGGGCGAGGGTCGTCTCGCGGGATCCTCCCGCCCGTCCGATGTCTGGGCGGCACCCCGTCGCGAGACCGAAGTGGGGCTACGCCGGGGCTGGTTTTTTCGACGCTCGCACCTGGCCCATGCAGCGGTGGAGTGCGTAGGCGAGCGCCCCAGTGGCGTTCTTCGCAGGGGGGGGCCTCTGTTTTGCCAGAAGTTCCCCCCCGCAGGGCCCAACACACAACCTCGAGCTTCGTAAGTAGGTCTGGGACGCCCAGCCCGCCCATCTTCCCTGATCGGGGCCCCTGGTTGCACCCGTATTTCCCAGTGGTGCGTCATCGGATCATCGGCGCTGCTGCTCTGCTCCTCCCCATCGGGCGCTCGCTCGCTCCTCCTCCTCCGTCCCATGCGTCCGCCTCCTTCTGCTGACCATGCTCCCGCTGCCGCTCCTCCGCCTCACAGTTGCCCTCCTGCTCCTACTCCGTCCCCTCCCCCCAGCATCGTTGTCCCGCTGCTCCTCCTCTTGTCGGTTGTCCTCGTCGTCCTCCTCCCGAGGGCGTCGACAAGCCCCCCGAGAGCGTCCTACCCACCCCCCCCGACCCTCGAGGGCAGAGGGCCGAATCCGAGCAGCGAGAGCAGGCAGGAGCGGACAGGCGTCGACGGCGCGCCTCGTCCTCCCAACGCCCGCCCCCCTGACCTGGCGGAGGTGCGCCGGGGCGGGGCCTGCTGGGTCCTTGATCGAACTCGCTCCGCGGGGGCGGAGGGCGAGCAGCGAGAGGGGGAAGGATGGGCAGGAGGGGGGCGGAGAACCACAGCAAGCCCAGGCCTCGAAGCCTTGGTGCCTCGCCAATGAAAACGAGGAGGGAAGGGAGCGGGAGCAAACCCAGGATGCATCAGACATGCGCCGCGCGTCCCAAGGCCCCCTCGCATGCCTCCCATGCAGGGAGCGCCCCGTTGAAAAAGCCGAGCGTCCGACGGGCCTGCCGCTTGGACGGGCGCTCCGCTCTGGGAGAGGAATCGCCGTGCATCGTTTCCGTGAGTCGTACAGTCGAGACGCTGACACTTTGGGACACTTTGGGTTCGGAGAACGGCTCGGTGTCCCCGAGGTTCCTCAGTTGCCGTTCCTCCTCGCCCGCCTCGGGCACGGAGGCGCTTCCAGGGCCCCAAAAAGGGCCGCGTTCTTGTTGGGCCTTCCTCGTTTTGGCGGCCCGAGTGTAGGACACGCGAGGAGGGCCGGGTCGTAAAGTTCAGCGAGATATCCAGCGGCAGCCCCGTCTTGAAAATGACCCGCCCCCGCCCCCCATCCGTGCAAGTGCTGCGCAAGAAGTATGACACAGCTGGGCACTGAAGCTTGTTGAGCTTTTTTCCGCGGGGGGGCGTTTGGAAGAGTACCCGCCCCTTCTGCGGGCGGCTGCTGCACATTCCTCCTCCTCCTCCGCCTCCTCCTCCTCCTCCCCCTCCCCCTCCTCCCCCTCCTCCTCCTCCTCCTCCGCCTCCTCCTCCTCCTCCTCCTCCGCCTCCTCCTCCTCCTCCTCCGCCTCCTCCTCCTCCCCCCAAGATTCGAGTCTTCACGTTTGGGGAAGTCCTCGGCGAGGTCCCACACTTGCAGAAGGAGCCGTCGTCGACCAGCTTAGCCGGTGCGAACTTACAAGGCGAACGTGCTCGTCGCTATGTCGATCTCCGCGTTCGGGAGAAGAGCCGCCTTCGATCTTTGTAGCAGACGCGCGCCCTTCTCTTTTGCGCACATGTGGATTCAGGCGCGGCGATCGCTGCGATCAGCGTAGGGGGCGGCACAAAAGAAGGTAGGCGCAAGAGGGGGTCACTAAAAAAGAAAGCCTGCGTGCCAGTGCCTCGGGCCGCCTCGCCGCGGCATCGCACGAAGGAGAAGGGGAAGGACGGAAGACAAAATAGGGGTAAGTCTTGCGAAATAAGGAGTGCGGAGTGGGGAAAATGAGGAGGAAGAGGAGGAGGAGGAGGAGGAGGAGGAGGAGGAGGACGAGGAGGAGGAGGGGAGGTAGCATCCCACGTTGCCCTTCCAGCCCTAAGAGGTGTTCGGACGCATCGCGCTCATACAGCACCTGGCTTCCAGAGCGATGGGCGCGTGTGGGACGGACCATGGCAGAGTGTTGTCATGGTGGGCGTTGAGCCAGCCGCCGGGGAAGGTGTCCGAGCAGGGTGCCGGCTTCAAGCGCGCTCGGCGCGGCGGACCGAACATCCACGTGCCGGACGAGTCGGACGGCGTGATCCCAGCTGGCACCCGAAAGTCTGGGGGGGGGGACTTGCGGAAGTGCGGCCGCTGGGCGCGCGGGAGGTGAGTCTTGGTGCGCGGGTTTCTCGCGGTGTGCCTCCTGGAAAGGATAGTTGGAGGCGCGGTCTCGTCGCTTGCGGCATAGCTGGCTGAGTCAAATTGGACGACTGAGGCCATCTTAGGGGCTTTCTTGGGGTCCCCGTGGGGCCTCTTGGGGCACTCTCGGGGCCCTCTTGGGGCTCGTTTTGGGGGTCTTGGGGCCCTCTTGGGGCTCATTGGACGCAGCCGTCCAGGTTTCGCTCCAAAGGCCGCCCAGAGATAGCCGACGGCAGCCGCAAGCCTATGGGCAACAAAGGGCCCGTGGTCGAACGTTTGAGGTGAAGCTGTCGCAGCTGGGCGTTCGGATGACCAACGGTCTTGAAAGGAAGGCCGCGCCCAGAGTCAGGAGGGGAAAAACACACACAGACACAATTAATCGTCGATTCCCCGGAAAATATGGGAAACTATGGGAAGTGGGGGGGAAGACGAAAACCCAGAAAATATGGAAAATATACGGAATCCTGTTATTTGTGTCTATTTATTAGTGTGTCCCAGGGCCCCTTCATTGAAGGGAAGGCCGCGCCCAGAGATGCCGTCAGACAGCGGCCCTGGGGAGCCCGGTCGACCAGAGGCCCAGGCGCCCCCTGCAGAGCCACACGGCACCAGATTCCCATGCTTGGCATCGCTCGGACGTGTGCATTTTTTTCTCGGCGAGGACCATCGAGGAGCATCCTTGATCATTTGGCGAAAAAACCACGCACGAAAATGAAAAAAACGCAGGGAATGGACGTCCAAGCGATGGCGAGCATGTACCCTAGCTACGGTCGGACCGAGGCAGAAGGTCGAGGTCGGTTCGGCGAGGGCACCCCAGTGTTCTCAGTGCTTCTCGTCTGTTCTTGTGCATCCAGGGGGAGGTACCCTCGACTGTTTTTTTTCGGGAGGGTCTCATGTTCTTGGAGAGTGCCTCGGTCCAGCTGTAGCTCTCTCCTGATTCAGTCCTGCTTCTGGATGAGGGCGAGGGAATTGAACAGGCGGAGCCTGGGGCGAAAGAGGAGGACTATGAGGAGGAGTGGGTAAAGCGAAGAGGAAGATGGGGATGCGAGGATTTGTGGTGGGGATACCGAGGGTGATGATCACGATGAAGACGATGGGAACGATGGTTGTGAAGCTGACGGCGCTGCTGATGATGAGGATGAGGAGGAGGAGGAGGAGGAGGAGGAGGAGCAGAGGATTGTCGGTGATGATGGTGGTGGAGCTGGTTGCGATGGTGATGGCGATAATCATGATGGTGGTGATGATGCTGATGATGGTAGTGATGATGATGGTGATTCGGGAGACGAAAATGATGAGCAAGAGAAGGACAGGGAGAAGAAGCAGGAATAGGACGGGGAGCGCGAGGGAGAGCAGGAGGACGAGGAGGAGGAGAGCTTCGGGGAGGGGGAGATGCAACAGGAGGTCGAGAAGAATCGGCTTCCTGCTTCGATGCATCGCGCCGCCCGCATTCCAGATTTCGGATTGGACCTTCCAATCCAGAGTTTCAGATTCTGGATTCCGAGGGGCTCCAAGCCCTGATACGTCGCGCCGCCGTTCCGGATTCATGATTCGCAGGGAGCCCTGACTCTTGACGCATCCTGTCGCCATTTTACAGATTCGGGATTTTGGGCTTGGCTTCTGGGCTGGACCTCTCCAACGGGATCCCTCTGGACCACCTCTCGCCCTGAGGGGTGCCAGCGTGCAGTTGACTACGGCCAGGCAGTCGATGTAGAGCTCGAGGTTGCCGCCGCCGAGCTTGTCGAACACTTCGTTCACTGCGTAGGGAGCCCTCGTCGCCCCTGGGGAATCGCAGTGGCCCTTTATCCCTCGGCACCGCCGCCCATGCTTCAGGAGGAGCATGGAATGGAAGATGAGGTGGGGGAGGAGGAGGAGGAGGAGGAGGAGGAGGAGGAGGAGGAGGAGGAGGAGGGGAGGAGGAGGAGGGAGGCAAGAGAAAGAGAAAGAGAAGGAAAGAGAAAGAGAAGGAAGGATGAGGAGGAAGAGGAGAGGGGAGGAGAGGAGGAGGAGGAGGAGGAGGAGGAGAGGAGGAGGAGGAGGAGGAGACAAGAAAGGGAGGAGGATTGAGGAAGGGGACTGCATAAACAAGAACGGGGTAGAGGGACGAAGGGGAAGACGGGGAGAAGAGGAGGGAGAAGGAGTTAGGGGGGAGGAGAGGAGGAGGCGGAGGCGGAGGAAAATCCGATTGAGCAGGTCTAGGACGACGACGATCACGTGGAGGAGGAGGAGGAGGAGGAGGAGGATGAGGAGGAGGAGGAGGCGGAGGAGAAGGAGGAGGAGGAGGAGGACGACGACGGCGACGAGGATTTGGAGGACGAGGTGGGGACGAGGATTGGAGTGGACACCTCGAGCGGACAAAGGCTGCCCCTCCCGGCCACGAAGGTCCGAGGGCAGGCCCTGCACCGCCCATGCGGCACAGGGCACCCCCCACCGGCCGGCACGCCGGGAAAGCCCGGCCTCGGGGAGCCGACGGCCGCCCCGGAGGGCCCGACGGCGGCGCACGCCGTCCATGGCAGATCACAGGCGCGGTCCTGACGTGCTGCCGCCGTGGTTCCCCTGTCAGTGCATCGGCAGCTACAGGCCTCGGAACAAATTAGCGAACACATGCCACATTCATCCGTCAACGCCTCCCCCTCCCCCCAATGTTCAAAGTTGGTGGCGGGTCTGATGAGATGCACATCGACCGCAGTCTCCCCCGCGCGTGCCAACATTGAGTTTGGGGGGGAGGGGGAGTGTTCAGAAATTGTTTCCCTCTACCGTATGGCTCACCTGCCGGAGCAGGACCTGCCGCAGCGGCGTGCCCGCAGGCGCCCCTGCTCGGCTGGCACGCCGGCTCCGATATCATCGTGCTGCGGGCACCGCGCGCACGCGGGAGAGCCGAGTCGGCGAGCCCGCACGCGGGCGCGGCACTCAGCATCGCGGCATGTACGCACAGGGACAGGCTCAGCAGTCACAGGCTCATCGTGGCCTGGCATCGCTCGGACGTGTGCATTTTTCCTTCGGCGAGGACAATCGAGGAGCATCCTTGATCATTTGGGCGAAAAAACCACGCACGAAACCGAAAAAAACACAGGGAATGGACGTCCGAGCGATGGCGAGGTGGCGCCCAGCCCCAGGAGGCCGCGCGCGGACAGCAGGGCCGCTGCCAGCGCGAGCAGCCTCGGGAGGGGCAGCTGCGAGGCCAGATGAGGCCAGGTCCGGGGGCAGGCACGTCACCAGCACGTGCGGCTTGCTGACCCTTATGCTGTCGGCATTCGGGTCGCGGAGCAGGATCGTGGCGTCATTGAGGATCCTGAAACGTGCCAGAACACCATTCCTGGGACTTCAACACTGCAAATCAACGCGACGATTGCGCCCTGACCGTCTTACATCGTGCCAAAACATTATGTCTGGGACGCCAGCGATCAGAACCCGTAAAACCGCGGTACATTCTTAAGATGAAGGTGCGCGGCGTTAGGGCGAGAGCCACATTTTGAGACGGAACCGCCCTCCATCCATGAAGTTGTGTGCTAATTTTTACAAACGAGTGCGCGCGGTGCTTAGGCGAGAGCCACAATTTGAACAGGACCCGCCCTCCATCCGTGAAACTTTTGAAAACCTTTAGGCCGAAAGTGCGCGGCGCATCCGCCCTCCATCCATGATGCGCGCGCAAATCCTATGCTTCAGGACCATCCGTGGTACGGAGGTTTCAGGCGAAACGCACGTACCGACATGTCCCAGGGTGCGACAGGCGGCAGGGAGGAGTTATTCGTAAGCAAAGGAGGAGGGAGGCAAGTAAAGCATGAAGGAGAAGGAGCCTCCTCCTCCTCCTCCTCCTCCTCCACTTCCTCCTCCTCTTCCTCTTCCTCCTCCTCGTCATCCTCGTCGTCCTCGTCGTCCTTGTCCTTGTCCTTGTCCTCCTCCTCCTCCTCCTCCTCCTCCTCCTCCTCCTCCTCCCAGGGCAGTCAGGAGGCAGCAGAAGGGGCTGGCATGGGACCATAAGTGAGTGGACAAGGAGGATTGGGCGTTGGAGCAGGCGAGTGCGGAGACGGAGGCGGCGGCGGAGGATGAGAACGAGGAGGAGGAGAAGGAGTAGGACGAGGAGGAGGAGGAGGAGGAGGAGGAGGAGGAGGAATGGGAGGAGGAGGAATGGGAGGACGACAAGGACGAAGACGATACTCGCGACGACGCAGAGGAGGAGCCGTCGCTGGCGCTCCAGCGGAGGTCGCGAGCGGGCGCTTACTACGACAAGGGCATCCTCCACGCGTCCAGGGCCTTCGGCGGCGAGACCACGGACGGGGGACGAGCACCGAGCTGGAGATTGAGAGAAGGAGGACGAAGAAGCGGAGGAGGAGGAGGAGGAGGAGGAGGAGGAGGAGGAGGAGGAGGAGGAGGCGGAGGAGGAGGAGGAGGAGGAGGAGGAGGAGGAGGAGCAGGAGCAGGAGGAGGGAGGAGGAGGAGGGAGGAGTTGTTTCTTATAACTCATGGGCCGTCCAGAGCCTTCGGCACCAGGAGGCGATCCGCTTCCAAATCATGGTCGGCACACATCCCAGCAGAAATTCCAAACGTTGGTTCTGAGGGTAGAATAGGGGACGAAGAGGGAGAGGAGGAGAAGGATGAGAATGAGAAAGGGGCTTTGTGTGGGGACTGGGCGAACTGCGGTTCTTAACGAAACGTGAGGGACAGTACCTACGAAGCTGTACTGAACCGGAGAGTGAGCGTTCAGTGAGAAGTAGGAGGATCAGCAGTAGAAGGAGGAGGAGGAGGAAGAGGAGGAGGCGGGGGATGACGAGGAGGACGAGGAGGAGGAGGAGCAGGATGCGGAAGAAGGCGAAGGAGGATTATGTAGGAAGGGAGGGAGGGAGGAAGTGAGGAGGATGAGCCTCAAGGTCGATGGGTAGGGGGGGCATGCTTCCTTTAATTGTCACTGCGCCCAGGTAGGACACAGACGCGATAGGCTATGGACTGGCCCTTCGGAGAATTTGCTGTGGAAAAAAACAGTCATTTCCGTTCCTGTAGTGTTTCCCGAGCTAGACGTCGTACTTGTTATGCTGTGGTGGCGGAGAATATAAATCGCACGGTTTATTTCCGACAGCGTGGCCAGTTCAACCAAGTAAAATGACATGTGCGACACGCCAGCGTCCACCCAGGATGGGCCATTTCGACCGGATCCATCAGTCAGGGCCCGTGTTGCGAAGACAACCGCGTTTCGCCCTCTGGGCCTGACATGCTCGCGCGCTATTTCGGCTCAGGCTTGCGCTGGGGCGGCAGCCTGCGATGGCCGAGGCCCTAGCCGCTACGGCGGGCCTACGGCCCGAAATTTTCCGCCTGCCCGACCCGTAAAGTGGGTTGTGTGCGGCGCGAGACGCAATCGCTAGACCTGGGCCACGGCCAACATGGCACGCCGCGCCAACTCTTGGGCCGCCCTGTCACGACGCAGGCTCACGTTCACACCGCGCCAGCTCCCGGCAGCCTCGCCGACTGCTGCGCCCTGGTACCGTACCGCTGTGCGTAAACGTTACGGGCGGTGGCGTCTGGCACCACGCTGACATTTCGGTTGTGCCGCCCTCCCCCGGCCAGGGTTCATGTCAAGCACGTACCGCATGGTATTAGTTTCCGCCGGAGTTGCGGTGTAGCCTGTTGCCTTGGCATCGCTCGCGCATGCTCGCGCTCGGACGTGCGCATTTTGCCCCCAAGAAGACCATCGAGGAGCATTTTGGTCCATCGTGCTGAACCCCCCAAAAAAAAAACACATCACGGAAATATGCACGGGAATGGGCGTCCGAGCGATGCCAAGTTGCCAGCCAGAGGTATACCCCTCCCGTGGCCCAGATGGCTGGCGGCTGCCCCTTCCTCGACCGGGAGGGGCTGCCAACGCACGCGGCCAGGCGGCTTTGCTCGCCTCCAAATTCCTCCTCCCCCTGCTGGTCCCGCATCTGCGGAACCTTTCAGTCGGGCGCGTCCCTCTACAGGAGGACTATTCAAAAATAGTCCCCCAAACTAGGCAGGGGACGATTGTCTGGCTATGTTTGATGATTGTTGGATATGTTTGGATCCCTTTTGATCTTTCGCCCAAAACCCGCCTGTAGGAGGACATGCCCGACCTAACGGCACGTGCGTTTTCCCCCTCGGATTTGGCGCCGATTTTTTTTTGCGCAGCGGTATCCCCGCTGTGGGTTTGGGACGGCCCCCCCGTGGTCCGTCCTGGCCTCCCCCCCGCCTCCTCCTTCTCCTCCTCCTCCTCCTCCTCCTCCTCCTCCTCCTCCTCCTCCTCCTCCTCCTCCTCCTCCTTACAGTTTCGAGATCTTGGAAGAACTCGTGGCTAACATCGCGACCAACAACATCATCCCGCACGATTGGAACCACGCCCTACTAGCCATGTTACCAAAAGGTGACGCGCCTGCTGGTCATGCAGAATACTTTCGGTCGCCTGACCAACTCCGCCCTCTTGCTATGAAGAACACTGACGTAAATATTGCCGCCTCCGCCATCAACCGCAAGCTACATCCGATAGTCAAGCAAGTGTCGAGTATCCAACGAGGCTTTGTACCTGGCCGCCAGTTCCTCAACAACATAGTCGAAGCCGACACGTACAGCCGCATCTACAGCACCATGGACCACGCCACCGAGCACATGCCGTGCTTCCTCAGCATGGACATCGCTGCCGCCTTCCCAAGCTTGCTTCACGCCTGGTTATGGGAAGTGATTCGCAGATGGGGGATTCATGGACGAGCCCATCGCCTCCTCCAGTCCTTCTACGCCTCGCCCATCGCCTTCCTCGAGCTGGGAGGCACACGTCGGCCACTACTCGTTGCATCCAGCGGAGTAGCCCAGGGCTGCCCGCTCAGTGGCACCATCTGGGCCCTGGTGTTCGACCCCATCCTACATGGAATTCAACGCCACTTTCATCAGATTGGCCGTGGCATGGCCAGTGCTTGTGCAGACGACATTGGTTGCGTCTTAGCACACTTGCGTGACATGCAAGGCATCCTACCGCATACCGAAGCGGCCCAATCCTTCGCAGGGCTGATGCTCCAACCTCGGAAGTGCGTGCTCGTCCCTGTATGGACCAACTGCATCGAAGACGTTGACGACGCCATGCGCGACACGCTCAGGACGATCAACCCCGCCTGGTCCCAGTTCAAGATCGACGGCAAGGCCAAGTACCTCGGAGTCTACATCGGTCCCTGTGCGGATGATCGAGCTCAATGGGCCGCTCCCGCGGCCAAGTGGTACCATCGTACTCAGATATTGGGCGACGCCTCCGCGGCTATCCAGCTGAACGTTTCGCTGTACAACTCCTCCGCGATCACTTGCCTCATTTACGTCGGACAACTATTTCCTGCTCCAGAACTCGTTCTTTCCAAAGAAATTCATGCTCTTCATAAAGTTATCAGATCTGCTCCTTCAGCATTCACCAAGCTTGACATCCTTGGCATGACGAACTGGGCGGGCTGTGCCATCCCCACAGGTGTCGAAGTCCTACTGGCTGCCACGCTGTGGCGCTCTGCTACTTCCACCACCAACGCCTGGCCCCAGCTTCTCGAATGTCACCATCTTGCAGCACTCGATCAGATTCCTCTCGCCCGAGTTGTTCAGGGACTTTGGACCGCGCCATGCTGGGCCTCCGCTACCTCGATCGCGCAACATCTGCGGGCGGCCAAGTTTGACGACAACTACTCCACTCATGAGGGCACCATCTTCAAGACCATCAAGCGCAGCCGCCGTCACGATCATCTGGCTCACCGTCAGCTACGCCACGCCCATGAACTCGCCCGCGCAGCCGCTCTTCGGGTCATGGACAAACGTCGCCGTGCTGACGACGACCCTCCAAAGAAATCACCGCAGACGACTTACATGATCACGTTGCAGCGCGTGCTCTACGAGGACTCCTTCGACGCCACCATCGCTGCCCGCCTTCGGGCCAGGTTCCCCACCCTCCCGTCCGCGACGCTTGCTGCCAACTCCGATTCACGACGCCTCCAACGATTTCCACCACTTCATCTACAAGTTCCCAACACGCCTGATGATGATGACCACGACATGCGCAACGCAGCCAACGAGCTCGAGACCGTCGCGGAATGCCTGCAGCACTGGGCCTCCGATTGGCTTCCCTCGATTTACCTCGCACAACCAATACATGAATGGGACGTCGACGGTTGGCATGAATGGTGCGAAACCTTCATTCTTCGTCTACTACGTCGTGATGGTCTCCAAGTTCTCTTCCGTGGCCAAACTGATGCTCAGCTCCGTAGGCGTGCTGAACGTATCTGCACGCAGGCATGGCAATCAACATCGGCATCTAGACTTCAGACCTCCGCCGCGTTCAACCCTCCCCGTACCGCCGAATTACAGCAGAGGTTCGAGCGAGCAGCTAATGAACACCATGCTCGGCGCCGCTGGATCCATGACGCCGATTTCCAGAACAATGACTCGGACACCACCCCATTGATCACCGACGACCTCACCAACGCGTACGCGGACGACAACGACTTGACCTCCCTCATCCAGTTACCTTACAACATGAAGACCGCGTGGAACCGCATCCGCCCGAAGATCGCCGAGTTGCCGCCTTCGCGCTTCTGGCCTGTGATGGAGACGCCTTCAGGCGGGTGGGCCACGTCATACCGTATGCATGTTCAACCTGGCCTACGTGGTTGTGTTCTTGGTTGCAACCCAAAGTTTCACCCCGACGCCTTCAGCCACTACTTGGTCTGCAAGCGCTTGTGGCACCATGCTGCACTGCCACGTGGACGTCTTCACAAATGTGCTCTCGCCAGGCTTGGCCTACATGATATCAATTTCGACCCGCTCGGGGCCGACGACGACAAGATTGACCACGTGCTCGTACGTCTTGCAGTGGTCTACAGATTTTACCACTCGATCAAGATCGACAACAACGTCGACAACTCCTACATCGCTCACAAGAACTACATGCAGGCTTCGCGGCTCGCCCTGAGGCTTGGCCCGAGCGCGCACGGCGGTGCGCGCCCATTATAGATCGACGCACTTCTCCCAGGGGTTCGTTCGCTCCTCCTCCTCCTCCTCCTCCTCCTCCTCCTCCTCCTCCTCCTCTGCTTCCCCGTCCGAGCAAGGGGGAGGGAGGCAGAGGGGAGGGGGGGAGCGAGGAGGCGCGCACGCAGCGCCTCCGCGCGCCGTCGTCGCCGCACCGCAGATGTGCCAAGGGAAAGGGCCGGCCGTGCCGCTCTCGCCTTCCCGGCCGGGCTCGGGCTCGTGGCATCGCTCGGACGTGATCACCCCCCTCAGAGGAGACTCCAGTGGGCAACCCCCCGAGGTTGGGCGTCGCCGTTTCTCGTTTTCTCGGGGAGTGCACCAAGTCTTCGCAGGATCTTTCGTCGCCGTTTTTTGTTCCGGGGTTCCTCGGCGTTCTTTGGGGCGCGTGATGCTGATGCGGACAGCGGCTTGCTCGCGGGCCTCCTTGGGGCGGGTGGCCTCATGGGGGGCGCCACGAAGGCCCCAGTGGCATCGCTCGGACGTGTGCATATTTTTTCTCGGCGAGAACCATCGAGGAAGATCCTGGGCCATCGAGCCAAAAAAACACGCACGACACCGAAAAATGCACGGGGAAGGGACGTCCGAGCGACGGCCAGGGCTCGAAAGAAGCAGAGGGAGCTTGGCCGCCATTCCGAGGCGAGCTGGGGCCTGCAACATTTTGGGGCTTCCGAGTGCGGCCCGAGGGCTGAAGCACCCCCCCCTGCGCAGGACCTTCCTGTTGCCAGCGAGGAGGAGGAGGAGGAGAAGGGCGAGGAGGAGGATTGTGAGGAGAAAGGGAACCCGGCTGAGGATAAGGGCGAGGATACGGGTGAGGAGGAGGATTGAGAGGAGAAAGGGAACGAGGAGGGGGAGGATGACGACGATGATGGTGGTGGTAGCGGCTTGCAGTGATGGTGATGACGAGGAGCAGCAGCAGAAGGGGGAGTATGATGAGTGTCGAGGACGACGGTGGTGATACAACAAGAGAGGACGAGGACGGAGAGAGGAAGGACAAAGATGGGGGTGAGGGCGTGGATGAGGAGGACCAGACGGAGCAGAAGGAGGAGTAGACTGACAACGAGGGTCCAGATCGGAAGCGCGACATCCTGGGCAGGGGGACGAACTTTGCCGGCCTGGATCTATTGCAGAGCGCTGCATTATCCCGACGACGACGATGATCACGTCGGCGACGGCGATGAGATCGCTTCGGAAGTTCTTGGGCGTTGCTCGAGGTTCTTGTCGGCACGGCTTGACGCAGCTCGAGAAGTTGGCCAGGATGGACTCGGGCGTGGGTCTGGGGACTGGTACTGCAGGGGCTTGAGCCAGACAACGACGACGACGTCGATCGAAGATCGAACGTATGATGTTTGACAGCTTTCGCCTCTTTAGGGGGCCCAAAGTGTCTATAGAGGTCGACCTTGACGGGCCTCCTGGCCCCATCTCGTTGCTTCTGGCGGGCTGCAGCCCCAAAACGGCTTGCGATGTTCGCTCATGCCGCAGGTCCCCCAGGGGTATTCTCAGTCGCCGCACCCACGACGCGAGGCTTCCGCCTGAGGGTGGACGCAGAACAGCAGGGCTATGCGCAAGCTCCCAGGGAGGCAGGGGTGAGGACTACTACACAGACGTGGGCCACTCAAGTGCGGCGCCTGGACAAGATCACTTCACATACGAGGCCAGCAGTTGCTCTTTCTGCTGTGGGCATGTGCAGGTCCACGTGGGCGAGAGCGGTTGCGCACGAGTGCGCACTTTCAACACGAGTGCCGCTGGGTGAATGTCGTTGGTGTGGGGTGCATCGGCGTCTCTGCCTCACCCTTGACATGTTTTCACGTAGTTGGGTTCTCATCGCCATTCCGATGGCCGCCGGCAGCCCTAGGGGGTGGGCACTTGAGCACGAGGCACGGGGCGCCGAGAGGGGAGTGTGCACAGCGCAGTCTCGAGGAACACCCGCACTTGCACCGCTTGGAGCGTCACCGGCCGATCCCTCTCGCATTTGGCTCCCGTCATTGTTGCTCGTCGTCCTGCTCACGGTGCCGCCCCGCCTCATAGCACGGTTGCGCGCTGCGGTGCAAACGGCGGCTCAGGCCCCCACCCCTGATGCGGCCAGACCGCAGCTCCCGGAACGGCCTCGCAGTTCCTTCCCTTGCCTGTGCCTGCAGTCTTGGCCTTGGGTGGGTGGGCTTTCCACCTCGGCTGCTTTTTGCCTGAGTGCCCAAAGCAAAAGGATGGTAAGTGCAGTCTAGCCCGTGGCAGGGTAGACGATTAGCTTTGCTTGTTCGATGCCAGATTGCCCGGGGCAAGGGGCCGCGATGTAGTCTTGGCCAACGTTGGGTAAGCCTTCCACCATGTCTGCTTGTTACCAGAGTGCCTAGAGGTGATGGTCGCGAATTGCAGTCTTGGCCGTGGGTGGCGATGCCTTCCACCTTGTCGGCTTGTGTGCCAGATTGCCCAGGGCTGAAGTCTGCGAAGTGCAGTCTTGGGTGTCGGCGGGTAGGCCTCCCATATTGTCCGTTTTGTTTCGATTGCCTTGTGCTGAGGATCGCGAAGTTCAGTCTTGGCCGTGGGTGGGTAGGCCTTGCACCTTGTCGGTTTGTTGCTCGATTACCCAGGGCTAAGAGCCGCGAAGTGCAGTCTTGGCCGTGGGTGGATTTGGCCTCCCACGTTGCCAGTTTGTTGCCCCATTGTATGGGCCGCGAGGTGCAGTCTTGGCTGTGTGGGTGGGGTAGGCCTTCCACCTGGTCTGACACACACACACACACACACGCACACACACAAACACACACACACACTCTCTCTCTCTCTCTTTCTGTTTCTTGTCTTTGTTTTGTTGTGTGTTGTTCTCTCTCTCTGTATTTCTCTCTATCTCGCTCGTTATATCGCTGTATGTATGCATGCATGTCTGCATGCATGCAAACATGCATGCATGTATGTGTGTATGTATGCACGTGTGTATGTATGTATGTATGTATGTAATGTATGTATGTATGTATGTATGTATGTATGTATGTATGTATGTATGTATGTATGTGTGTCTGTGTGTCTGTGTGTCTGTGTGTATGCATGTATGTGTGTGTATGTATGTATGTATGTATGGATGGATGGATGGATGGATGGATGGATGGATGGATGGATGCATGTACATGTGTTTGTATGCATGCATGCATGCATGTATGTATGCAAGCGTGCATGCATGCATGTATGCATTCATTGATGTCTGTATGTATGTATGTATGGGTATGTATGTATGTGTATATACATATATATGTGTGTATGCAGGTATGCATGCATGCATGCCTGTATGAATGCATGCATGCATGCCTGGATGTATGTGTGTGTGTGCGTACGCATGTATGTGTGTATGTGCATGTATGTGTGTATGCGCGTATGTGTGTATGCATGTATGTATGCATGTATGCATGTACGTTTGTGTGTATGTATATAGTTGTGTGTATGCATGTATATATGTACAGATATGTGTGTACGTGTGTATCAAGGTGCGTATGCATGTATGTGCGTACGTACATACGTATGTATGCTTCTCTGTTTGTAGGTGTGTACATGTATGTGTGTATGCATACCTGCATGCATGCATGCACGTATGTGTGCATGCATGTATAAATGTAAGTAAGTAAGTAAAGATGTATGTATATATGTATGTAGGCATGCATGTATGCATGCATGCATGTATGTATGTATGTATGTGTGTATGTATGCATGTACGTAATGTATGTATGTATGTATGTATGTATGTATGTAGGTAGGTAGGTAGGTAGGTAGGTAGGTAGGTAGGTAGGTAGGTAGGTACGTGTCTGTACGTATGTGTCTGTACGTATATGTATATATAGAACGTCGGAGTGTTGGGCCCCCCCCCGGCCCCCTGCCGGCACACAATGACAGAGATGCCCCACCCCCTGAGTACCGCAGGGAGCACTGGGGGCCCGAGGTCCCTTCTCGGCCAGTTGGGGGGGCGCGCTCTCGCCCAGGATGGTCCCAAGACAGCGCTCCACGACCCCTCAGGATGGCTTCGGGACGGCCCAGAGGCCCCCCCAGAAGGTTCAGGAGTGCCCTACGAGGACCCCCAAGAGGGCCGCAGGATGCCCAAATCGCCCTCGTCCCCTCAGGACAAACATAGACTTTTAGCACTTTCGCTGATTCGTCTTAGCAGCGCCTGATGCGGCCTCAGGGGGCCCAAAGATCGATCCTCCGAGGCCACCAGCGGACCCCCCAGAAGCGACACTGGAAAAACGAGAACTCGAACAATTCTACAAAAATCTACGGAAAACCAACGATTTGTTTGAGGGAGTTTCTGTGGAACTACCGTCATCCTCACCCCCGGCGCGGTGCCCAGAGGAGCCCAGAGCGGCCTCCGGCACCGTTTCCGGACAGATCCGCTGGATCCGGTGACGAATCCCAAACCGGCGCCCTCGCTTGAGACATCCTCACAAAACCGGCCCCGGGGGAGGTGCCCAGAGGGGCCCAGAGCGGCCTCCGGCACCGTTTCCGGACAGATCCGCTGGATCCGGTGACGAATCCCAAACCGGCGCCCTCGCTTGAGACATCCTCACAAAACCGGCCCCGGGGGAGGTGCCCAGAGGGGCCCAGAGCGGCCTCCGGCACCGTTTCCGGACAGATCCGGTGGATCCGGTGACGAATCCCAAACCGGCGCCCTCGCTTTAGACATCCTCACAAAACCGGCCCCGGGGGATGTGCCCAGAGGAGCCCAGAGCGGCCTCCGGCACCGTTTCCGGACAGATCCGGTGGATCCGGTGACGAATCCCAAACCGGCGCCCTCGCTTGAGACATCCTCGCAAAACCGGCCCCGGGGGAGGTGCCCAGAGGAGCCCAGAGCGGCCTCCGGCACCGTTTCCGGACAGATCCGCTGGATCCGCTGGATCCGCTGGATCCGGTGACGAATCCCAAACCGGCGCCCTCGCTGAGACATCCTCACAAAACCGGCCCCGGGGGAGGTGCCCAGAGGAGCCCAGAGCGGCCTCCGGCACCGTTTCCGGACAGTTCCGCTGGATCCGCCGACGAATCCCAAACCGGCGCCCTCGCTTGAGACATCCTCACAAAACCGGCCCCGGGGGAGGTGCCCAGAGGAGCCCAGAGCGGCCTCCGGCACCGTTTCCGCGCAGATCCGCTGGATCCGCCGACGAATCCCAAACCGGCGCCCTCGCTTGAGACATCCTCACAAAACCGGACCCGGGGGAGGTGCCCAGAGGAGCC